GAGGGGGAGGGAGCAAATGGGAGTGGGGAAAAAGGAGGGGGGAAAAAGGAGGGGGGTGGGTGGTGGGTGGGATATAAGCAATTATAACCAGATTGCTGTTTTCGATTATGCAATATACATGATTTCTGGAATCTGCCTGGTCTAAGGTAAGTTTTGATATAACATTATTCACTACTTTATGATTATGATCATTATAAAAAATTCCAAATCAGCCAATTTCAAGTACATGTCAAACTTGTATATAAATCACATATTCTATGCTGACAATACGCTTTGCCTTGATCTTGCACCCTGAAGAGAATGTCATTCCAAATGCTCAACAGAAATGTTATAAGAAAACCGAAACTGCTGTGAATAACAACAAATGTGTTTTGTCGGCATAGGGCAGAGTTATGCCTAAATAAATAATTACATGACATTTATTATAATAATTATAATCATAATAAGTATTATTATATTTATGATAATGATGATGATGATGATGATGATGATGATGATGATGATGATGATGATGATGATCGTAATATTTATTATTATTATTATTATCATTATTACCTGAAAGCAATGGGAAATTCCCGCTCTTGCTCCACGCTGTGGGTTATGTAACCACGTGACTTGACGTAAGCATCGCAGTCTGACGGGGCTCGGCTCATCTCTGACAGGCTGGGCTCTCGAGGTATCTCCACAGTTTCCATATACTGAGCGGGCATGCCGGGGGGAAAGAAGGGTGGTTTGTTGAGTACAAAGAAAAGTGGGAGTGTCAGGGGAAAGAAGGAAGGAAGGAAGGAAGGAAGGAAGGAAGGAAGGAAGGAAGGAAGGAAGGAAGAAAGGTGGTTTGAGGACAGAGAGAGAAAATTTAAAAAATCAGAGGGGAAAAAAGGAAAAGAAAAAACAACTAAGTTAAGGGGAAAAATATCTATCGATAGCACACATAGAATGGATAAAAAATGAAAGAAAGAAAGCAAGCTGTTAAGAGTGTACATCAAGCCTGGCGTCAGAGAGCCATTGCCCGGCACAGGGTGGCAGCGTTACATCTAGGTGCATTCATTAGACAACAGCACGAGGAACCGCTTACCCATTCGTTCCTGCCACCTGTGCCACACTGAATCGCAAAACAAAAACAGAAGTTTTCACACCCATGCTAATCAACTATCGCAGGTGTGTATTTGTGTGAAAAAAGAAGTGTCCAGACATATTAATGGTCATTTTGTGAATTTGTGAAGGAAAAGAGGAAGACTGATAAGAACCACCCCCCCCCCCCCTCGCCCCGAGTCATTAAAGAAACAGGATCTACTAATGGCGCCCTCTAACAACCATCTCTAAATCGTAATTTTCCCACTAGCATTAGCTAGCATGGTATGGCCAATAAAAACTATCTGATGACACACAGCAGGACCCCAAAATTTTAACAAATAGACCCCATGATCAAATAAAGGGTTATTTCAAATTAAAAGCAACATTAACATGTCTCTAACTATTTACTTTCTTCTCTGAAATGAATATTCTTAGGTAACCTTACCGTACAGATTATTGATAAACGTGCTGGTACAGATTGTAGTAAAAGAATCACAGTTAATAGACAACGATGTCACTGCTGACATTCTCTCCTAACCAAGTTATAAGAATAAATAAATACATCTAACATTTAGTATACTTAGAGCAATATAGATAGAAGCAAGAGAAAAATTGACGAAGAAGAAAGATGCAGAAAGAGTAAAAGAGAAGCTAGAGTATAGTTATGTCTTTCACGGACTAAGGGCTCCTATCCTAATTTTTAAACAGCTACTGTAACTAATATTACGACGTAAGCTAGTAAAAGTAACTCAGATCAATAGGCCTAATGCCTAATATTATAGAACAGTCATTGGAAAAAAATTCACGGAAAGAAGCGAAAAACTACGTGACGAATAGACCTGCATTCTTCAATGCTCATCTGTGCGTCTCAGTATGTCAAGTGTATTATTTCCAAGTATTATTTTCTCACTATCACACATATCAATACATGATTTACCCACTCACATTCTCATAGTCGCAAAATGTCTGACACAAATTATATAATAGAAACGGCATCACAAAAACAAGGAACACCTGCTGAAAAAACAACAAAAAACAAAACTAAACTGAAACTAAAAACGAATGGGCAGGCCCTGGAAGTCATTGTATTGTGAAGTTGTGAAAACTTTCAACCGAATTTTAAACTTTAAAAAACAAACACCACCCACACGACAAAGATGATCATTTGTCCATGGAGTTGGTCTAACCAGCAGGACACCTACTCTCCCCTCTGCCAACAGCCCTTCCCCACTTTCCCCTAAAAAATGCTTTCGTCAATATGCAATGTCATTGTCTTCTCTACACTCCGGGCATATGCAATAGCCTTAGCTTTCAATAATTCACTTTCAGAGAGTCATGAACGATGTACACACACACACACACACACACACACACACACACACACACACACACACACACACACACACACACACACACACACACACACACAAACAAACACAAATGTGTATACACACACATACGTACGCACTCGGGCGCACGCACGCACGCACGCGTACACACACACACACACACACACACACACACACACACACACACACACACACATACTAAGATTAAGTCCGCATGCCACAGCATCAAAAAGAGTTAAAGTGTATTCATTAAGCCTGGCAATGAGATTCACACAGCCACACCCCATGCTTAACATACGTTGCTTGGTCATGCAGTTGTCTTTAGATTATTACAAGAAAGCTGCCCTTTTTACACCAGATCAGGGAAGAGCAAAACAACAACAGCTATGTGATTATCAATACGGGACATCACTTATGAAAAGAGCAGTTAAAATGCACCTTCCTCACAATATAATTCAAACACTTTCAGAAACCTAGTCTATGAACACAGAAAGTACATTATTTATGCCAGACAAAATGTATTTCTCTACAATGCCTGATATGTCAAAGACAGGTAAACCTGCACAGAACCTTTTGGACACGTAGTACGATTTATAGACTATAATATGCGCCCGAAAGGCTCTGGACAGGTCTACCAAGAACTACAATGCCGAGCTGCGACATTCACCTCAAAATAAGTCCTTCTGTTATACGATGTGAATTTCCCATATATCAGAAAAATTTACACAGGCACAAACTGTTATTCTCATAAATTCAAATACAAATAGAAAGGAAACTTGAGGTAGAACCGACAGTGCACAACTACAGCTAGTTCATTTTCATCTGACCACGGTTAAAAAGAAATTGCTCTGTTCAATCTTCTCAGATCTTGCAGGTCTAAAAGTTGGATGACCAACATAATCTAAAAGCCCATTCAAAAAGGACACTGCATACTAAGGTTCCGACACATTTTCTCTGATGTAAGCCTCAAACAGGTCAAAAATTAATAGGGGATTGACAGCATACACCTAAAACATTTAAAAGTTGATATATTTTCGTCAACACCACACTTTAACGTTTTTGCAGTTAAAAGGGTGCGCCTGTCTTGAGATGGCTTCAAGACCAACTGAACGCGATCTCAAGATGATCTCAAGACGATCTTAAGACCATCTTGAGACCAAAATTTGGACTGTTCAGTTAAAAATCTCAACAAACCACGAGATCGTTTGAATTCAGAATGAGTCTGAAAATTATCTGTCGGATCGCAGATTGGGGTACTAAGGGCTAAAAATAAAAGGGTGCCAAAGTCAAAATTTTGCAAAACTGACTTCAGAATCTTCATCAGCATCAAATCCTAGTGGGATTTGATACGAAACACTATTAACCCACCCTCATGTTTTCAAAGGCAATTTACGACGAGAATAAAGACTTTTTCAATTGTCTCCTTGCTATTTTCAGACAAATAACTGGTTGACCTTCAAAATCCAGTCAGCATCTCAATTTGCATAGCTTGCCCCAAAATCGGCCTCCCGTTAAGATGCGCGTTCAGAAAGGAGTATAATAAAGTTTAACACGAAAAAGTTTAAGGAGCTGGAACTCAAAACATTTACACAAAAAGACTATGGTATTACGAAGAGCCTTTGTTCCTCGAATACCAGGATATGAGTCCTCGTCCATCCGAAAATAATTGTTATAATCCGCAGAGTATGTGAGAGAATTCCTCCAGCGGAAGAAGCCATTGTTGGCCCCATAATTATTTTTGTTGCCTTTTTTTTCTTTAGCGAAATACTCAAAACTATACAGGCTGCAGCAAACTTAACTTTGTGTGGGAGCCATTTTGATAATGTGCTGGCCTGAGTAGTGTGTGGGCACAAATGAGATCAATTTGAGGTCGCCCTGACATAGTCTCGAGGCCATCTCAAGACCAACTTGAGGCGGTCTTAAGATCGGGAACTGCATAGTTAGTTAGTTTGGAGGGGGGGGGGGGGGGCTCTTTAGAGACATGATTCGAGAGATGGGGTGAGTGCTTTTTCGAACCTCACGACAAGCTTTCCCTGAAATGTGAGGGCAAGGAGGCGTCGCTGTCTCAAAATGCGCATTTTGAAGGCAAAGTTGCAGCAAGTCATTTATTTTAGTGAACCTATGTATGCATCAAAAGAGCAGTTTTACTAGGGGCCTATAGGGTCCAAAGAGAAAACCTTTTTTTTAAATTACTGAATCAAGATTTTCAAAAAAATATTTTGTTTGGCCGCTGGTCTGCAAAAGTGCCATGCAAAGTTTCGCGGGCATAGGTAAATCAATAAATGCGCAAGATTTTATTTTAACGTAGTCAGACGAAAGTGAACAAGCTATAATTGACATACTGAGATCATGCACTAACACAACAATAGTTCTGAAGAAGTCAAAGTCAATACAATAAAAATGTCCAGTTCTTGACTTTCCACTTTCCAATCATAATCTTGAAATGCACTCAAGTTTGGTAACCGAATTACAAGGTATCTTTTCTCCTGATCCCATCTGTCCTTTCATTAAACGACACTATAAGTGTAAAAAAAACCCAAAAAAACTTGTTCACCTTTGTCTCAGTATTAAGCATAACCTTTATCTATCGATCACCTGTATCTAACAGATATGCAACAGCCTCCCCCCCCCCTCTTCAGATTATACTGCTCCCAATGCCAGACAAAAATTTCTCTTATCTACTCTCCGTTACAAATCTCTTCCCCTCTTTTCTTCTGTTTGTCTCACCTCTACTGGGCTCTCATTAGAGAGTTTGCGGGCCAGGTAGGGAGTCAGCAGCGAGTAGAGAGACTTCTTCACCGAGGGGTTATCTGGCGTGCTGAGTTCACTCTCACTGCTGAAAAACCCAGCAAGACGTCCGCAGGCAGTCACGCTCATCTTGGCCAAATGGTTGGCAACTTCCTGTGGACAGTATTACATACAAATAAGTAAATACAATAATATTAAAGAAATCTAAAAGCAATCATAAGTGTTGATAACAGTGACACAGCCAAAATACTAGGCAGGACTCGTTTAAGTGTACAGATACACACCAACACAATAACACTCATCTAAAGCTGGGAAAAAGGAAGCTGGACCAAAAAAAGGAAAGACCAGCCAGTGACATTCTTAAAGCACCCGTCAGTAAAAGTCAACAATAGGTAACACACATGCATGTGGCTACAGCTGCAGTCATTAAACCAGTAGCTGGTGGTCTTTTGCCCTTGTGCTTGATGCAGTTTCAAAGAATGTGCACAGTCTGCTTCAACTGTCTCAATGTTAACATGTTTCATCAGATCACTTGTCATCTGTCACCATCTTTACTGTTGTCATCGGGAACTCCATAGAACTTCACTAGAATACACAAAACGTGCTTATTTCTGCTGATTTTAACTACCTCATGTAGCCTTCACTTTCGTCTGTCAAAGGCTAAAATAGAATATCAACAAAACCCAAAAGCCTAAGCAAAATAAAGTTCAACACATTTTCTTTGACGTTGGCTTAAAAATGTATTTAAAAATATGTGGTGTTGGTGACCAGGTGGTTCGGCTCTCAGACTCGCAACCGTAAGGTCATGGGTTTGAATCCCGTCAGGGGCCAGACGTTGTGTCCTAGGGAAAGGCACTTTACACGTCCATGTAAGAATTGGTACTCAGCTACAGACAGTGAAAGTTCTTTTTATAGCTCGTTCACTTTTGTCTGACAGCGGTTAAAACAGAATAGAAACAAATCGCTCTGTTAAATCTATCTGGGTCTTTGCATGCGGGTCTAAAAGTTAAGCGACCAACATAATCTAAAGGGCTATTCATAAAAGCCACTGCAAACAGAGTTTCCGACACGTTTCCTTTGATGTCAGCCTCAAGCAGGTAAAAAAAAAATAGTTGGGGGTTTACAGCAAACACTTAAAACATTTAAAAGTTGACACATTTTCCTCAACACCACTCTTTAACGTTCGCCTAAGAAACACGATTCAAGAGACGGGTGAGTATTTTACGAGACTCACGTGGAGCACGTAAAGACATCTCGACAGCCAGGGGATGAAATCGACAAGTTTACACTGAAATGTGGGGGCAGGGCGGTGTCGCTGTCTCAAAACGACCAATTAGGAGCAAGGCTATTGTAAGTCATTTATTTTAGTGATCCTGTTTATGCATCCAAAGAGCGGTTTTAATATAAGGACCAAAGAGAAATACTTTTTTATTACTGGGACAAGATTTTTAAAATTAAAATTGGTTTGGTCGCTGGCCTGCAGAAGTGCCATGCAAAGTTTCGTGGGCATAGGCAAATTCCTCGTTAAGCTAGATTTTTTTAACGCTGCCAAACGAAAGTGAACAAGCTATAGTTCGTTAGCGTTTGAGCGCTTAATCAGCTGCTTGCACTGTATGCTTCCCGGGAAGCGGAGAATGTTGCTGAGAGTTATGTGGTCTGTTGGGGTAATAATAATAATTATAGTGTAAAGGGCATAGAGCTTGCTGTTTAGCGGGGATATGCGCTATACCAACGCTATTTATTATCATTTCAGCAAACACTTAGGACCCCCGGGGCAGTGCCACTGACTGGTGTCTTTAGGCCACTCCCAAAAGGGGGGGGGGGGCATTTTTCGTTCAAGCACAGTAGAATTGTAAATGGGCTGATTCATGTCACGCTCATAACTGTGCCTGATCTACAACAGGGAACTGCTGCTTTTTCTTTCTTAACCCTTACTATTGTCATTTTCCTATACTTCTTTTGTATGTTTGTCACGTTCTCCTGACCCGTTATTTCCGGGGTGCCTTGATAGTCGAAGTAGACCTTGTGCTGTTGAAGCTAGAGAGGTGAGCAGAATAAGTCTGATTCCCTGTAAAGACTTTTCTGTTGACACCCACCCCTTAGCGCTCATATGACCTTATGCAGTTGCGAGCGCCGTAAAACCCTCTACTATACAAAAACGATTCTTTAAAAATCCAAACACTTTGGGGCTCTCGTGATCGACAAGTACGACCCAACCCCACTCACCCTCCAGCTTCCTCTGTGCTCCTCTCTCTGTTACTCCTGACTACTTCACTGTTACTACATGCACAGGCTATTTATTACTGCTGTCTTTCAGCCTCACCCCTGATCTAAGGGTACGTAAGTTGCGCTCATTAATGATCTCTTGGTGGTCCCAAAATCGAAAAGAATAGGCTATGGCTGCTAGCCGGGCAAAATTCAACATAGATTCCTACCAAAACTGAAAATTCTCTAGTCAGTATACTACCGTATCAGAGTGCCTTCGAAATCAGAATAGAGCTGCCTGAAGGAAAGGGACCCCATGAAGTAGGACAAACAGTCACATACGTAAAAATCAGCTGCACTGCAGGTTGTAATTTTCAGCATTTTATTTTGTTAATCAGGCTTTGTCTTGTGTGGAGAATATGACACACCTTATTGTTTGTCTTTTTGCTTGCCAGCTAATTCTGGCCAATCGGAGGTAGAAACACATCTCGAATGCAGCTATTTGGTTTTCTTCTTTCCTTGTTAAAGTCCAAGTCCCAGCATCATATAGAAATAGGGAGAAGATGTAGCATTCCACCATTTTCTTTCTTAAAGGTAGAAATAATTGGCTGGATGTTAATAGTTCGTGCATTTGGCTGAATCTTGCTTTTGCATTTGCTGTTCTTATAATATATGTAGGCCTATTTCTTTTTCGCTTCTGTCATCGCCTGTGAATGTTGCCCATAGATGCATGAATTGGTGTACTTGTTCAATTCTCTCCCTTCCTATAGTCAATGGTTATGTCTGTTGTATTTTTTTCCAGTAGATTTTCATATGACCAGTGTTTTTGTTTTCTTGGCGTTTGTATCAAGGCCTGCCTTGCTGCTGTTCTCTTTTAGCATTTTCACCATTTTAGAAAGATTTTTGTTCATGTTTGCAAGTGGAACTGTATCATTTGCGTACCTCAGATTAAGGTAACCGATGTTGCGGCCCCTGATAGCGTCTCCCTGTAGGTCTTCATATTCTCTAAAAATAAACTATGTATAGATGCTTAAAAGATGCTAAAAAGATAAGGAGAGAGGACACAACCTTGTTTCATTCGTCTAAGGATTTCAGTATATTCTAAAATGTCATTACTCACTTTACTCTTTTTTTTTCGCAGATGTATTACGGCGCTCGCAACTGCATAAGGTCATATGAGCGCCAGAAGATTAGAGGCTAACAAATATAAAAAAGAAGAAGGGGAGATAAGTACGATAGATGTTTGGATAGGAAAATAGGAGCAAACCACACCAGAGCACCCGCCAACCACCCACGTCACTTTAATCGTAATTGCTGCCTTCTGCGGCTAGTAGAAATTTCCTATGATTCAGATATCTTTGCTATCAGTACCTGTCTTCTCATCAACCTAATCAAGTGAATTCTGTCGACAGCTTTTGAGTAATCAATAAAGCAAGCAAAGTGGTCTTTTTCTGTAAAAGATTCCTTCTCTGGTGCCATTTCCAGACCTGAAGCCAAATTGTTAATCGTCAATTGAGCCCTTAATTCTCTCTAACATCACTTTCAAAAATATTTTTATGATATGAGGCATTAGACAGATGGTCCTGGGGTCAACACATTTTGTTGCTCTTGGTTGTTCTGTTTTTATTTGTGTGGTTTTGTTGGTTTTTTTCGTTTTTTCTTGGGGGGGGGGGTATAATATAAACCCACTGGAGTAGTTCTTCTGACATGTTTTAAGTCATAGATATCATTGAAAAGTTCTGTTATAGTGTCTATACCAAATTGATCTAATCGCTTTTCTGTGTTTATGCCATCTTCATTCGGGGGGGGGAGAGGGATTTCCATCAGGGGTATTTTTAAGATTGTGAGCTCTAACTTTAATTTTAGAATGTTAAGACCATTGTTGTTGATTGGTTAAGGAAGAAGTGGTCGTTATCTTTAAACAATTCTCTTATATATTCAGCTGATCTTCCTAGGACTGTCTTTTTCCCAAATAACATTTTGCTTTCCTTATCTTCAACACCTCCTGTCAATCTCTTTACTTATTGTTCAAAGAGAAAAACCTTTATTACTGGACTAACAATTTAAAAAAAACTAATTTTTGTTTGGTCACCGGCCTGCAGAAGGCGGGCATAGGTAAATATATAAAAGGTAGTTTTTAAGGACAAGCAGGCTAATCCAGATTTCGGTGGTTTCCAGAAATCTTAAGCAGCACCAAAAGTGGGCATTTCCCTACCTATAGGAAAAGTTTGGTTTCATAGGTGTGTATATTTGTTTGGTTATAGAGAAAATTCTCCTTGTCTTTTAAAGAAACTGAACAAGGCGCAAAAACTTTACCTTAGATTTTCTAAAAACAGCATGTTCCGGGATAGCCCTCTTGAGCTAGCATTCTTTAAAAGTGGTCAGACGAAAGTGTACACGCTATAGTTATATTCCAAGCCCATGAAGATGTTGACTGCTACCAGAATGTATGAGAATGAAGCCATTTTTCTTCTTAAAAACAGGTTCATCGGTGAATCTCACCAATGAATTAGCTAAAACATCTGTACTGTACCCAGCTCACTTGCTTCTTTTACACTAGATTCTCAAAATTCCCTGGTTTGTAGAGGGTCCTCACTCTTAAGACACACAATAAGCATTTATAATCTAGAGTCTAGAACTAGGCAGTAGGTGAATCTAGATCGAGATCAAGAATCATGAAAGTATTCTTGAAAGTGGATTTTTTCCTACTGTGAATAGATCTAGAAATCTAGGCCATCTGTGACGCCTGTCGGTTGTTAAAAATGTGAATTTCTAAACTTAGATCTATCTATGGGCCAAGGCTCCTTCTTTCAATTACTGGCCTATGTCTTTATAATCCTCCGAGATTTAGGCTAGATCTAGAATCTAGATTAGGTTCTTCTAGGAAGCAACAATTGGCATCTAGGCCTAACTCTTTTTCTAAAAAGTGATTGAGCTGGAACTTTAGGAGAAAATGCCACGCCTTCGAAGAGGGAGAAAAAGTCTTACCCCTAGAGGTAGGCAAGAGGGGTTGCTACATGGATAAATTCAAGGTAAAATATTTGTGTTTTGTTTCTTTCCTGTTTTCAGTCTTTTTCCTCTTCTCAACTTTCCTAATAATTCTTCATTATTATTCCATTCGTAGAATCGGTACTTTTATTACTAGTATAAAATTCATTCAAAAGGAATTTGTTTGAATTAAAATTCACCAAAAAAACCAAACTTATTTTCGAAAATGGAAATGGCTGTTATAAAAACCACCTATAAATGCAAAATGTACCAATTTCAAAAATCTGGTAAGGAAAGCCATGACATGATTGTCTTTCCATCCCTGTAACCATAAAACAATATTTCTTTTCTCCTACAGTTAAAACGATATTTTTTTTAAATTCTGGAATTCCGTGAACCATATGGCCTATATGTCCTTTGGAAAAAAAGGTGGACACTGACGAAGTAATCCCCCCCTCCCACCCCCGCTCAATCCTTCTCACACACTTTTACATTCTTCAATAAATTTGAGAAGAAGCTGAACAAAGGTAAAGCGGCCGGTCCTGACCAGATTCCACCTGAAGCCCTAAAAGCAGATGCCAATGTGACGGCAGACATCCTCCTCCACTGTTTACCAGGATCTGGAATGAAAGCAAGTTCCCAAAGGATTGGAAAGAAGGACCTCGTGAAGCTTCCAAAAAAGGGGGATCTCAGCAACTGCAGCAACTACAAAGGGATCACTCTTCTCTCAATACCAGGTAAAGTCTTCAACAGAATCATTCTGAAGAGAATCAAGACAGCAACGGATCCAAGACTACAGGATGAACAGGCTGGTTTCCGGAAAAATCGCTCAACCACCAACCAGATTGCCACGCTCAGGATCATTGTGGAACAGTCCCTGGAGTGGAACTCCCAGCTGATGGTCAACTTCCTTGACTATGAGAAGGCTTTTGACAGTGTAGACCGAGCAACACTATGAAAGATACTGAGACACCACGGAATCCCACAGAAGTTGGTGAACCTCATTAAGAGCATGTACGAAGAGACAAATTGCATGAACGCCAGCTTACTGACAACTTTGACATCAAGACTGGTGTGAGACAGGGATGTTTATTATCACCGTTCCTCTTCATATTGGCAGTTGACTGGCTGATGAAGGAAACCACCAGAGGACACATAAACGGTATACAGTGGACATCATGGACACAGTTGGACGATCTGGACTTTGCAGATGACTTGGCGCTTCTGTCACACTTTCAGGAACAGATGCAAGCAAAGACGACAATTTTAAACAGCCTATCCGAGTCTGTTGGATTGAGGATCCAACCCTGAAAGTCGAAAGTCCTAAGGATAGATGCACGGCGAAAGGAGCAGGTCACAGTACAAGGAAATGCACTAGAAGACGTTGAATCGTTCTGCTATCTTTGGAGCATAATCGACAGAGAGGGAGGAACAGGCCCTGAAATAAAGTCCCGCATTGGAAAGGCACAGGCTGCATAATTTATTTCTTTGAGCAGGATTTGGAGGACCAGGGATACGAACAAAGCTTAGAATTTTCAACTCAAATGTGAAGTCAGTCTTGTTGTATGGATGTGAGACGTGGGACGCATCCCATATGTGCATAAAGAGGATCCACGTTTTCTTGAACAGGTGTCTGAGGAGGCTGCTGAGGATCAAATGGACAGACAGGATCACCAACGAGGAAGTATTAAGAAGAACCAGACAGAGCCCGGTCAGAGATGAGGTGGGAAGAAGACGTTGGCGATGGATTGGACACACACTCTCAGGAAGTCAAGCAGCTGCATAACAAGAAAAGTGTTAGATTAGAACCCACAGGGTAAAAGATCAAGGGGAAGACCTCGTGGAACCTGGAGAAGAGTCACCGAAATGGATGTACAGAAAAGTGGGAAAGATTGGAGTGACATCAAGCGACTAGCCCAGGATAGGGAAAGGTGGAGAGTGTTTGTTCGTGGCCTGCTCCAGGGTGAGAAAGGCAATGATGATGAATAAATTTGAGCTATTCCAATTAGACTGGTAGCGAAAGATCTCTCTAACTGTCTATTGGCTAGATAGATGCTCAGGCAGTATTTGAATATACAATGTATACAGACTACTGGGCTTCGTTCTCAATCTTACTCATGAATTCAGTCTCGAAAGTTCACAACTTTTCTTCATTTCCTTTTTTTTTAGTAGGCCCTAAGCGTTTCATGGCACTCACAGCTGCTTAAAGCCATATAAGCACGTGGGACACATTAAACATTTTCAGTTTGGTAGGAAATTTGAATTTTGCCTGGGTGGTGGTCGAACCCTACTCTTATCGATTTTAGGACCACCAAGGGTTCTTTAAAGTGTGCAAGTTTGCACACGTTACCTCTGAGAAGGCTAGATGTTAGATCTTACCTACCATAAGACCAGGGGTGTGGCCCAAAGACAGTAGTTAGAAGGAGCCAGTGAGTAGCAGTAGAAAGGCTGCATCAGGATCCCAGAAGAGGGGGGAAAGGGAAGGGGGGAAGGGGCAGAGAGTGGAGGCAAAAGCAGAAGATAGAACATGGTTAGAGAGCAGGAAAAAAAGTGAATAGGGGAAAATTTTAGAGCTGAAAATTTTCCGTCGCTGTCAGGTTTTGAATCCGGGACCTATTGATTGAGAGGCGAATACCATAACC